ATATATATATATATAATCTCAGAATTATATCATAGCCTTGTGCAGGGTGTGATGGTCACATTCACATTCTTTGCTTCTGTGCACCATTTCTAAGTGGACTAACATGACTAGCTCAGTGCTTCATGAATGAACAAATTAGAGCGTGGGAATCTATCATTTCATGGGCTCTTTGCTTCTATCCCGCCCTCTCTTCCTTCTTATTAGCACACATCCGCTTAACCCCAAAGCCTGTGCATAGCCATTTGGCAGAAGGATACCCTTCTGTGCATCTGGTTGTTTACTTTTCCTCTTGAATCAACATGGTTTGGTCCTTGCTTTTATGTTTTCATAGTCATTACATTGTCTTAAGAAGTCATCAGCTGCTTACTATGTCATGTCACTACTTTACTGCTGCTCTTGCTTTTACATCCAAATCAAGAACCAAGTCACCGAAAACCAGAAGCTGCTCGATCTTCCAGTGCTTATGCACTATTTTTCTTTTGAAGTTGTTTACTTGCCATGTTGACTGCATTGTTCTATTTGCCTCTAGCTGCCTCAATAAATTGCAGTTTTAAACACTACTGAAAGTCTTCCTGACCCTCCCCATTTGGAGATAAGGGTTAAGCACATCCCTTTCCACTTTGGAAGACATTGAAAATCCTGGCTGCCTATGAGGCTGCATGTGCTAAAGTTGTGGGCAGGTGTGTGCTTTTACTCACGGATTCAGGAGACACCCTGTCTGCTTTTTGTGTCTGACATCAAGGCGGTTGATGTTTACGTGCACTTGAAGCTGATTTATTTATTTGGCGTTTGTATTTTTGTGTCCATTTCAAGCTGATCAGTTGCCACTCCAACAACATTTAGTGATAGGGCATGTGGTGGGTTGTACTGAGTGAATGCAGCATGACCAGTTTGTTTTCCTAAATCCGCCCCCCAGACTAACGTCTGCAGCCAGAGCTAATTGGTATACAGAAAGTCAAGCAGTAAAAGGTAAAGAATTTACACGGGGATGCCTTTTTTTTTTTTAGATAGACACTAGCCAAGCTGCATTTCATGGCCATATCTAGATGACCACAGCTCAGCTTTCAGTTTGAAAAAAATCCATTGTGTTTAAAACATTTTATAGTTTTTTGGGGATTTTTTGCACATTTTGTTTTCTGAAATTTTCGTTTTTTAAGTGAAACGGGCAGAAGGTTCATTGCTTGTTCACTCTAGCCCGTCCACTAAATTGCTGCATTGTTGTATTGCACACTACCAGTGCTGCCACTGCTTACCATTAAAGCTATAGATCTAAAAAAATGTAGTGTACACTCCACTCAGGTCCCCGCACAGCAGCGCACTGTGCTTCTATCCGGAGACCTGCAATGAAATCCAGTGCACTGCAAAATATTAGGCTCGGTGTCCGCAAAAAAAGTTCACATCACTTGTGACGAGAGAGCATGGAGCCGGCTTCCCGGCCAATCAGGAAGCCGGGCAGCATGTAATGACGCGGTGCCCGGCTTTCTGATTGGCCATAGAACCGACTCCATGCTCCATCGTTACCTAGTGATGAGAAGCATGGGGGCGGCTTCCCTGCTAATCTGAAATCTCAGCTGGTAGGATGGAGCGATTGCATTGGTGTGTTTCTGTCATTATACTTTCTAAAAGAAAACTGTTAATGCAACTTTCCTGGCTGTCTCTGGCTTAAACACTTTAGGGTTAAATCACACCGTGCAGATTGAGTTGCACATGTATGGCGTGAACACGGCACACAATCACTTCCCTATGTGCACTGTCCATATCATACATGTGCAGATAAATGCAGCTCAACAGATATGGTGCGAACAAGCTCTAAATGGCCAAAAACAAATATGCAGCCAATACCATACAATAACTGGGCTTTGATTTGAAGGTATTGAAGCCATTGGGTCAGCACAAGAGCCAGGAATGTAGCACTTGCAGAGATCAGCAATGACAGACAACGTGGTTCTTTTAGCCTGGGTTTCTTTTGGGTTTTAAGGTTGAGTGTACTGTCCTTCCCCTGTGGTATAGTATAAGTGGTATATCCTGATATCATTTTGATGGTTTTAAGACATACTAGACTTGGTGTCTCTTTCAAAATGGTTGAGTATTATGTTTCCATAGTAAACATGCAGTTTTTTGGGGGTGTTTCTATGGATTTTTGTGACTCAACTAGTGGCTCTCGGGCTCTTTTAGAACCCAGAAGTCCCAGTAAAACATGTTACAAGAACTGGAAAAGTGCTGGTTTTCCTAGTTGTTTTTTTTTTTTTTTTTTTTGCTTCTGTTCTCATTTGATAGCATTTGGCAATTCATTTTATGTAGGGGTTATATGTTTTACAGCGTGAGCTTCTTGAGAAAGTGTCAATATTTTATCTCAATCTGAGTGTACTTTTATAACAACTGATAATGTAATGGAGACTCTGCTCTGTATCATAAGTAATGTGATCTGGATAAACACATATACGGTACAACTGTACAAGGAATTTGGTCCAGTTGTTTTGGCATGACTCTGTGCTTGCTATCAGAGATGAGTGTGCTCGGTGAACTGAAGTCACACAAGGTAACCTGATCCCAGGCTCCTGTAGGGAGTACATGTGTGTGGGAGTTAGGTCAGTACAAAGTACTTTGCAGGAACTGGATTAGTTTGTCGATCACACCCAATTTCCTCATCAATTATGATTATGAAAACAAATTTTTCCTTTGCTCCTTTTCTTTATTTCAGCAGTGATTTCTAATGAAGCCTGTTAAAATAGCTATCATTGGAGTGAAGCTTTAAGCACGCACTTCCCTTATTAAAGTAAAATTCTAGCTTAAATGCTCATTTACTTTACAGTCAAATTTTGTCCAAGGAGCCAGTCTAAAAAAAAATCTTAGGACAACAGT